ACGCAGAATTGATACATTTCTCTTACAGCACTTCGTCTGATATCTGTTGATGTCATGGAGTTTCCTTGAGCATCGATGGATATCAATGGGTGCATATCGAAATGTTTCTGCATCAGCTTCAAAATTGACTCTCGATATGCTGGTGAACAGACAATGTACGTCCTTGAATCGCGATCTTCTTGTGTTGAGTAAAAGGTGGGATCAATAAAGTCAAACTCGTTAGTTGCTTTACTGATATTGTAAGCTACGGTACGTAGTTGTGTTTCATGTTGTGTTTCATGATCTGTATTGTTTAACAGCTTGGCTTTCTCTTTGAGCTTAAGTTTTAGGGTCCGATTCATGTGCCAAGCGCATAATTGGACTGTTAAAGGTCTCCACACCTTAGTCACTGCATTAATCTCTGCGAAATCTTTATCAGTAAACACAAATCCTGAATTAATATCACATAGCTTCAAGATTTCTAAGAAGCTCTCCAAGACTTTACAATGTCTGCCCATACTAGTACTCGTATCTGCCTTAATTGTATCAAGTATAAGATAGGCAATTGGGAAGCTGGTGCCTTTAACTTCTGCTATGACACCATAAAGTTCGTAGCGTCCACGTGCAATTTTATAAGTGATATCTAAGTATATTTCAGTAATATTAATGCCGTAATTCTTGATTTCGTTCAGCAATGGGGTAGTAAAACCGATAGCTGTGATCTCCGAATCTTTTATATCAAGGCACAAATAGAAATCATGACTATCGTATTCATTGAGCAACTTGCGAGCGGATTCAACGTGGTCATCATAACGTTGGAATAACTTCTGGCCTGCTATAGACTTCCAGAAGTAAATGCGCTTGGAAGAGTACTTTGAGATATCGAATCTTTGATGTCGTAGGTAATTTTTTAAGTCCACTACAGTAAGGTGCGAATGTGTATTGATCTCTTCCCGTAGTTCATTGAGCATCTTAATGCAAAGGTTTGGACGCGAATGGAGAAATTCGTAATATATATCCACTGTTATAATACTGAGAATCATATTGTTACCGTTTTGAGCTTTTGCGTATGAAAGTATTTCAAAATGGCAATAGTGACTGTGTTCACGGCAATTTAC